CTTTTCTATCTTACTGAAATAAGGTCCTGTCAATACATTGTCTTTAATTTTTAAAATTATGAATTTGCGACAAAATCACTGATAAAAGAAGCAAATATGTAACACTTTAGATAAAAAACAAACAAATCAAGACGACCCAACCATCAATACACCAAATAAAGATAAACAGTGGTAATTCATTATTTTTCTCTTTATTCCAAGTAGTTCTAGTTTTCAACAAATATTATTTACAAGTCAAATATCATAATTAACGCCTTCACTGATAGCAGGTAAGAATTAAAGAGGAATCAATTAAGTAAAAGGATAGGGAGTTATTAAGCGTCAGTTAAATTCCTGTAAGAGTCAACAAGTGGAAACAGTTTTAGTGTTAGGAAAAGATGGAAAAGGTCAAAGTCAGATATACTTTTATTTGATTTGTTAGTTTCACAATAAATGTAGGATTGAACATTTTCCGTCTCGTGTATTCAACATGAAAATGGACAATTTGTGACAAACACGCCATTGGCAATGAAAGAAAAGCAATCAAACGCGTGATCAGTACGGAGAAATAGAGCATAGATACTTGCGAATTTGTATGAAAAGTGACTTGGTGAATAGATGTTTGAAGGTCGTTGGCTTTACTATGATAAATTTATAGATCCACCAGAATATTTCGTAATTTCTAGCATAAATATATTTTAAACGACAGCCCACCAGTTGGGCACTGCTGCTTTGTTTCACTCGGTAGTTAACAAGTGAGAGCCGCGCTTAGTTTGCATCTTTAGGTACGGCCTCAAAGGATTCCTTTTGAAAACAAAATAGCTCAAATGGAACGGAAGAGTTATCTAAAGTTCTCAAAAGTATTGGCCCAATGGACTTATATTCACCCATCTTCTATAAAATTGTCGAAGGGATGACCGAAAAAGAGTAGGGTGGGGGCAGAAAAGCATCCCTTTTAATTTTGCGAATTTCACAGTGGGGCTATTGCAATGTTCTGTTATTTTCCTTTAATGTAAGAAACCAAATGCCAGGGATATTGTTATGGTAACGGTTTAGAGAAAGCAAGAACTATTTTTTTTTTTGGGGGGGGGGGGGAGGGAGGAGGGGGGAGGGAAGGGGTGTAATACGACTTGCTGATACGAGCAATTTTTCGGTATGAGAGGAGTCAATTTACTCATGAAAAACGTGGTGGGGCATAGCAACAAACCTTGACAATTCAACTTCTTTTCCATGGATCCCCCCTCCCGAGTCTCCGCTCGAAGTGTCGGTCTCTTACGGCAATGATTATACAGAATTATGGTCTAGTGTGATATTTGATGTAACTTTGATTTTAGATTGATGTAAGATAAGCGTATTGCTACCTTTTTGTTAGCAATTACTTGAAATAAAAATTAATAACTAAAAAAAGGAAGTGGCTACTTGCCAAAAAAAAAAATGTTTTGTCACGCGGGGCAGTATTTGTCATGAGATCGAAGCACGTGCTGTGTTCACGTAAGAAAAGGAAAAAAACGCCACAAGCAGAGTTGTGTTGCGGTATAAAAGACAGAAACGTGAACACAAGAAAATAGAAGTAAGAACACGGACGGTTCAGCTGCATGAAATTGCAGAAAAAATGGTTAGATATGTGACGGTCTTCATCTTTGTGATGATCTTCGTAGGAGTTTTAGGCAAGGGTTCCAAAGGACCCAAAACTCCAAAACCCCCGGGACCTCGCACCCCCAGGACTCCCAAGACCCCCAAGACTCCCCCTTCGCCAGGGAATTGCTTCAGCCCAAAATATTGGCAATTGGAGTACAAGACAGACGAAATTGTTGTAGATACGCAAGGTTCTAGCTATCAGGTGGGTAAATCCTCCAAATTAAATGGTACAGTCTACTTAATTCGATGGTCACGAATTAAAGCAGTAATACGATTTTTTTTGTGCCATTCACATTATTTTACGAACTGCAATATGAACGTTTTTGCACGGTGAATATTGTCATCAATTTTTTCCCCCATTTTCTTCGGGTTTCGTGTGTCCTGAAGTTGATAACATGGTGCCAAAGTGATCTACTCTTTTCGAGAACCGTAACGTGACCAAAATAATGGTAGTTACTAAATGATATCACTATGAATACATGTAGTATCGAAGTAACATGGGACATTGGTATTAATGTTGTTTGATATTTTCCTTTATGGAAAAAGGCCAATTTTTTTTCAAATGCAAGCAGACTAAAGATAGGGTTTCATTTGCACAAAACTTTCCATGAAAAAGAAAATTCGTCTACGCGATAATCAATACATGTTACCTGTGGATGTATGCACCAGCAGGGTCAGGGACGAGAGCAGAATATGTGTCACAACCATTACAAGTGTGTCAATATTTTGCCCGTTGGTCGCCTGACGATTTTTGTTTTACCCACACCAATGAAAGATTTACATCAAGTCCGTGCTTACGTGTTAGTTTGAATTACGTCGCTGTTTAATTTTTAAAAATATTTTTTCAAATTTTAGTTCCAAAAAGAAAAAAACTCAATATTTCATGTATTTCGCCTTTCAGTCGTCGTCCACAATTGCCTTGTTCGTGGCCAATTATACGGCGTGTGTTTTGGAAACCAGAGATGAAGGAGGCACGTCTTCAGTAATTCAGACCATTTACGATTACATTGACGTAAGTATAAGAATTGATGTCTCTTGTTGATTATTTTGTCCCCCAACTCTAAGGACAGGCAGTTATGTCAGATATAGCATTTGCCAATCTTTTCTTTTTCACTCGTGGCGATACTTATTAGAAAAATAGAACCCGAAAACGAAAACGAATTTGACGATGGATATTCAGTAATATATCCCGATACAAAATACCCCGCATTACTTTTTGGTCCTAGTTACGCGAAAAATTAGAGACAGGCAGTGTTCTTGAAAAGGGTGTATTTCAATTACAGAATGACTTGTGCGGTGGATAACCTTCGGATATTTTGCCCTTATATAGATTGCCATACCAAAATAAATTAGTTGCTCCCTTCGTAAATATCCAGCTTATAGAAAACCGCGCCTTTCACTTGCTCTGGAAATTACTGTGTCACACGGACACGTGACCTGTGACGCAATACCGACGATGCTGTCTGATGTAAGAGGTAGTTATCAAGTTGAGATATCAGACTGAGCTGTCACTATCTACCTGCCAGGTGCGTTTTCAAACTCTAGACAACAACCCGTGATCATTGATCATTTGCTTTCCTTACCTGAGGGGTTGAAAACCTTAAAGTCATATGTCTGTCTACATAAAATTCTTCAACTAAGTAGAACGCCACTTGAAAAGCGGCTGTGTGCGGGGATGTCGCGTAGTTTTATTTATTTATATTTAAAGGTTAAGATAAAGGGATTTCGTTACGTTGTGATTTATTTCCATAGTCGCTTATATATTGCGAAAATATGCATTGTTGCAATAATTCTGTCACATCAATTAATGACGTAACAACATCGTTTTTGGGATGAAAATTGTAATGTCGCTTTCAAACAGATCTGCCTCACCGTTTATCGGCTGGAGAAAAGACTTTATCAAGAAAGAGGCAATATAAGGGGCATTAAAATGGCACCGGATTTTTGTTCACAGCCAAGTCGTCAACCCTGCCAATTTTAGTGATCATAGGTGTAAAGTTACGCCGGAAACCGATCACTATCTCACACCGAGTTAGATAGATAGATAGATTTTTTATTTAACCGTCTCCGAGCAGAATACAATATTAAACAAAACAAAACAAAAAGTAAATTACATATACAGTTAATCCTCCGACCTTTCCGTCTCCGACAACATCAAACATCTATGGGCATAATTAGCCATTGTATTAATGTCACCCGTATTGTTAAAGAAAGACGTAATGTCTGAAAAGTCTAGCCTATTGTAGTCTTCTCTTAACTGTTTGGTTTTTTGACAGAAACAAATTACATGCTCTTCCGTCTGAACATCAGTTCCACATGTACACAGTCTCATATTTCTGGGGCGGCGTGACCATCTCCCCGTTTCAATAGCTAAACTATGAGCACTTAGCCGTAACCGGGAACAGGCTATCCTGTCCCGTTCCCTGAGACTGTATGATGAATACATGTCGTGTATGGACAAGTTAGGATTCATCTTAAANAAATTATGTTGATTACGTTTTAGCAACTCCTAAAGACGTGCAGTTCATTTCAGAAAGAGAATACGAATCATTGATTGATAATGAGCATACAGCTTTATCCCCATTCCCACTTGTCACTTGTATATGAGTAAAGGTTACATTTAACTGAATCTATATAAAATAGTGATGATAGCGTATACGCAATGCATCAAGACACGACGCAGAAATTTATCTGGATGTTTATCTGGATGTGGACAAGAATTACGTTGACTACAATTTAGCAACCCATGAACATGTACAATTCGTTTTTAGAGAAAAAACTCTCATTGTTTCAAATGTTTTGACAGTTTTTATATACTATTCAACCAAGAGAAAAAAACTGCTTAAAATGTATCAATAAAATAATCAGGTCTATGTGTGACGCAGAAATTCGTTTGAGTTGTTTAAAGAACAACCACTTGAAGAATATGCCAAATAGTTCCTAATTACTCAATAGACCAATCAAATGTAAAAAAAATCATAAGCTGATTAAATAAAAAACCATTGATATATATCTGACTTTGTTATGTTTGTGTTTCAGAGAGTTGATCGTTTCTCACATATGACAGGCGGCATTAACATGGGAGGATCTGTGGGTACAGGGTATTTAATGCATGCGTGTTCCTTCATGCATACAAAAATCTTGAAATTTCAACGATGCAATTTATCCAAAGGTTTATCCTATACATGTAACTTAAACCATTAAGAATATTACGATCAACAGACCATCAAACTAATCGCTTGTGCTTTACTATCCATGATTCCCTCTCTCTTGACAGTTGTGCTCTTTTTGGTGAAAACAAAACGCGAAACGTTTGGGTTCAAAACGTTTTAAATTATTAAATATGGTAACCAAAGGTGACTGATTAGTGATTGCTCTAATGTAGATTCTCTCATATGTCTGCCTTAAAAACGGTTTACAACACAAAGCTACGTGTTGCTTGGCTGTGGTCAACGCTTGTAGGTGCAACAAAGGAACGCGACAAATGGAGAAAAGCGGCCTCCAAAGTACACTGCTGGATGCTATAATCTGCAATCGTAAAGCGGGTCCTAGCCTCCTCAAGTGTTTGAAAGAGTTGGCCCCAACGGATATGTTCGTTTAAGACTTTAAATGTTATCGTGAAGTTGTTTTCTTTGGTCACATATCCTCCAGGCAGGCGCGAACTTATAAATGAAATAAGATCCTTTGTGGCAATTTCCTCTTCATCTGTCAGACGTATTTCAATGTTAACGCCGTCCCCGTACGCATTTTTAAGCGACTGTGGACTGCCCATAGTGACAAAGCGCTGGTCGATCATTATTGTCACTCGAGTGCACTGCATTTCACTTTCTTCAGTGCTGAAATATATAAACATCTATTTTAAAATAAATTAATAAAAACACTATCGTTTTATTTTCTGGGTACCAGATATCTTATTTGTAGTAGTTATCAGAAACTTTGGTAAAAAAGCTCACAGAAAGTTGTGATTTATGAAGAAAGTCAAATCTCATTTTGCTCGGGCATCACCGTGTCACTGCAAACTGCATACAAGACATGATCGGAAGCAAGGGAGAATCCACACAAACCTGTTGGTGGTCAGCACCAGTGTTGTGCCTTGTTGACGTATTTCTTGCAGAACTGACCATATCTTTCTCCTGGACAATGGATCAACACTTGTTGTCGGGTCATCCAGGAATATGATGGTTGGTTTTCCAATCAACGCTATTGCTGTGCTTAATTTTCTCTTTGTCCCAGCACTGTCAGAAAATTAGGGAAAAGGCGCATTGAAAATTCTGTCTTCGTAGACGATGACCTGGTAAGGCCAAGAATAGGTATGGTGTACATACGGTTCAACTCGGCAACTAATTATCAAAACAAATATATCATTTGCGCACCATGATAAGAAGGCATCAATTCTCAGTTCAAGCGGCAATGTTTCACATCGAGCGCGACTGAAACAGCAAGATTAAAAATAAAATCGAGACAAATGTGTCACTTTGTCTCCCTTTTTAATGGGAATGTGAAATGCCCCTTGTATTTGTCCTAAAACATTTGCACACCATACAACTCACCTGCAACTATCTATGACGTCATCGGCCTGACTGGTGAGAAGGCAACATTCTATGACGTCATCAATCACATGCTCCAGATCAGTTTCTGTGACTCCTCGCAACCGACCAATCAGGTACAGCATCTCTCGACACGTCAGGTCACCCATCAGAGAGCACGATTTGGGGCAGTAGCCAACATGGAGGCGGACCTGGATTAGGGAGAAGTTTTTGTTGTGCGGCTTGAAGATCTTAAAAGTTTCATTTAAAATTTCAAAAACTTTGAAAATTACACATATAATACATGGATATAGATTCACTGTAATAAAAGCGTATTTGGCGAAGTGAGAGGCAAAAACTTCGTTGCGTCCCCCTTAAGATAATTATTGCCGAACCATTTGTTTGGAAACCTGCACGGAAACTCATTTTGATTGAGTTTCCGACATTTTTCTTTTTTATGTTCCTTGTCTGCTTTTTTTTTTCATTCTTAATAACGTAGCTGATACTTTTCTGAAATTAATTTTTAATTTTAATTTCCGTCGGATTGAACTTAATCATTACGATCCCCCACCATTATTCCGTACATGTACGTGACTCAACTTTTGAATTGCCAAACACATCTTACAGTTTATAAGTTATTCAGACATGTAATCAAAAATAGAAATCTAACATCAAGATTGATAATAAATCACATTTCAAAATTACGCAACCATACCGCCAGGTTGTAAAGCTTTATTGGCAATGAAGTGCGATTTCGTGTCGTACTTAATGTTTATAATTGGACCAAACATACTACAGTATAAACAACATACTATAAACATACTATAAACATACTATAGTTTCGCCTTTTGAAATCAGTTTTTCAATACGTAACTTGAAAGCANAGATTATGTTGATTACGTTTTAGCAACTCCTAAAGACGTGCAGTTCATTTCAGAAAGAGAATACGAATCATTGATTGATAATGAGCATACAGCTTTATCCCCATTCCCACTTGTCACTTGTATATGAGTAAAGGTTACATTTAACTGAATCTATATAAAATAGTGATGATAGCGTATACGCAATGCATCAAGACACGACGCAGAAATTTATCTGGATGTTTATCTGGATGTGGACAAGAATTACGTTGACTACAATTTAGCAACCCATGAAGATGTACAATTCGTTTTTAGAGAAAAAACTCTCATTGTTTCAAATGTTTTGACAGTTTTTATATACTATTCAACCAAGAGAAAAAAATCTGCTTAAAATGTATCAATAAAATAATCAGGTCTATGTGTGAAGCAGAAATTCGTTTGAGTTGTTTAAAGAACAACCACTTGAAGAATATGCCGAATAGTTCCTAATTACTCAATAGACCAATCAAATGTAAAAAAAATCATGAGATGATTAAATAAAAAAACCATTGATATATATCTGACTTTGTTATGTTTGTGTTTCAGAGAGTTGATCGTTTCTCACATATGACAGGCGGCATTAACATGGGAGGATCTGTGGGTACAGGGTATTTAATGCATGCGTGTTCCTTCATGCATAAAAAATCTTGAAATTTCAACGATGCAATTCATCCAAAGGTTTTTTTATACATGCAACTAAAACCCTTAGGAATATTACAATCAACAGACGATCAAACTAATCGCTCGTGCTTTACTATCCATGATTCCCTTTCTCTTGACAGTTGCTCTTTTTGGTGAAAACAAAAACGCAGAACGTTTGCATTAAAACATTTTAAATTATTAAATATGGTACCCAAAGGTGACTGATTAGTGATTGCTCTAATGTAGACTCTCTCATATGTCTGCCTTAAAAACGCTTTACAACACAAAGCTACGTGTTGCTTGGCTGTGGTCAACGCTTGTAGGTGCAACAAAGGAACGCGACAAATGGAGAAAATCGGCCTCCAAAGTACACTGCTGGATGCTATAATCTGCAATCATAAAGCGGGTCCTAGCCTCCTCAAGTGTTTGAAAGAGTTGGCCCCAACGGATATGTTCGTTTAAGACTTTAAACGTTATCGTGAAGTCGTTTTCTTTGGTCACGTATCCTCCAGGCAGACGCGAAGTTATGAAAGAAATAAGATCGTTGGTGGCAATTTCCTCTTCATCTGTCAGACGTATTTCGATGTAAACGCCGTACACATTTTTAAGCGACTGTGGAATGCCCATAGTAACAAAGTGCTGGTCGATCATTATTGTCACTCGAGTGCACTGCATTTCACTTTCTTCAGTGCTAAAATATATAAACATCTATTTTAAAATAAATTAATAAAAACACTAACGTTTTACTTTCTGGGTACTAGATATCTTATTTGTAATAGTTAACAGAAACTTGATAAAAAAGCTCACAGAAAGTTGTGATTTATGAAGAAAGTCAAATCTCATTTTGCTCGGGCATTACCATGTCACTGCAAACTGCATGCAAGATATGAATGGTCTAGATCGGGTGCAAGGGACAATCCACACAAACCTGTTGGTGGTCAGCACTAGCGTTGTGCCTTGTTGACGTATTTCTTGTAGAACTGACTATATCTTTCTCCTGCACAATGGATCAATACTTGTTGTCGGGTCATCCAGGAGTATAATGGTTGATTTTCCAATCAACGCGACTCTTGTTCTTTATTTTCTCTTTTTCCCAGCACTGTCAGAAAATTAGGGAAAAAGAGCATTGAAAATTCTGTCTTCGTAGACAATGACCTGGTAAGGCCAAGAATACGTATGGTGTGCATACGGTTCAACTCGGCAACTAATTATCAAAACAAATATATTATTTAACAGTTGCGCACCATGATTAGAAGGCATCAATTCTCAGTTCAAATGGCAATGTTTCACATCGATCGCGACTGAAACAGCTTCCTATGCAATGTTCACAAACAGGGCAAGATTAAAAATAAAATCGAGACAAATGTGTCAATTGACGTCTTCCTTTTTAATGGGAAAGTGAAACGCCCCTTGTATTTGTCCTAAAATATTTGCACACCATACAACTCACCTGCAACTATCTATGTCGTCATCAATCACATTCTCCAGATTAGATTCTGTGACTCCTCGCAACTCGACACGTCAGGTCACCCATTAGAGAGCACGATTTGGGGCAGTATATATAGCCAACATAGAGGCAGACCTAGATTGGAAGAAGTTTTTGTTGTGCGACTTTAAGATCTTAAATGTTTCTTTTATACATTGACAATTACACATAACATACATGGATAAAGATTAAATGTAACTGAAGCGTATTTGGCGAAGTGACAGGCAAAAACCTCGTTGCATCCCGTGTAACATAATTTTAATTAAAATGTCGAACCATTTTTTTGGAAAACTGCACGGAAACTCATTTTGATCGGGTTTCCTACATTTTTCTTATTGTGTTCCTCGTCTGCTTTATTTTTTCATTCATTAAAAACGTAGATGATACTTTTCTGTAATTAATTTTAAAATTTAATTTCCGTCAGATTAAACTTACTCATTACGATCCCCCGCACATGTACATGTACGTGATTCAACTTTTGAATTGCCAAACACATGTAATCAAAAATAGAAATCTAACATCAAGATTGATAATAAATCACATTTCAAAATTACACAACCATACCGCCAGGTTGCAAAGCTACATTGACAATGAAGTGCGGTTTCGTGTCGTACGTAATGTTTATAATCGGACCAAACATACTACTGATATTTTCATCTTTTGGAATCAGTTTTTCAATACGTAACTTGAAAGCATGTGTCCTCAGAGGACTGCACATACCTGTTCAGTATGTTGCACTGAGTATGGCTCGTAGTTGTGTTAGTATAGAGACAGTACCGCGAGTTGTAGTCATTGATATAGAAGTTTAACAACGCGCCGACCAAGTTGAAGGGACAGTGTGAAGATCCAACCCGTTATTTCCGGATAGGAAAATGACCGTCACCATATCCACCACGTCTAGTAGTCGGTATGGAACGATGTAAAGGAGAAAAGCTCCCAGGACGACAGAATAGGCGCCTTTAAAACAGGAAATCTTATTTGAGATCTTATTTGACATCTGTCCGAATAACCATATATTTATGATTTTTAATTTTGAAATGAGTATGTAAGAAAGATAGTCCATATGCAATGCTTGAAGTAAAAAATGTATGATGAAAATCATTGTCGCGATGAAGGGATCTTTGGATGCACTTTTCAATACGTGGATGGTGATTGGAATATCTATTCGTTCTGAATGGAACCTTATGTTTTAATTTGTCACGCGGGGCAGTTATTGTCATGTTCTCGAAGCACGTGCTGTGTTCACGTCAAAATAAACCGCCACAGGCAGAGTTGTGTTGCGGTATAAAAGATGGAAACGTGAACACAAGAAAACAGAAGTAAGAACACGGTTTAGCTGCATGAAATTGCAGAAAAAAAATGGTTAGATATGTGACAGTCTTCATCTTTGTGATGATCTTAGCGGGAGTTTTAGGCAAGCATTCCAAAGGACCCAAGACTCCCAAGACCCCCAAGACTCCCAAGACCCCCAAGACTCCGCCCACGCCAGGGAATTGTTTCAGCCCAAAATATAGGGAATTGGAGTACAAGACAGACGAAATTGTTGTAGATACGCAAGGTTCTAGCTATCAGGTGGGTAAATCCTCCAAATTAAATGGTACAGTCTACTTAATTCGATTGTCACGAATTAAAGCACTAATACGGTTTTGTTGCGCCATTCACATTATTCTGAATGTTTTTGCACGGTGAACGCTTCCATCCATTTTTTAACCCAAATTTTCTTCATGTTTCCCGAGTTATGAAGTTTATAACATGGTATCAAAGTGATCTACGCTATTCGAGCACCGTAAAATGCCTCAATGGGTGAAATTATTCTGTCGTAGTTTCTAAATGATATCATTATGAATATATCCAAAAATATTTAGCTGATACATAGTCTTTGAAAAGCTTGGGAAAGGAAGAATTTTGCTTGTAGATAATACATAAAGTAACGAAGAAACATGAGACACTGGTATTAATGTTGTTTGATATTTTCCTTTATGGTAAAAGGCCAATTTTTTTTTCAAATGCAAGCAGACTAAAGATAGGGTTTCATTTGCACAAAACTTTCCATGAAAAAGAAAATTCGTCTACGCGATAATCAATACATGTTACCTGTGGATGCATGCACCAGCAGGACCAGAGACGAGAGCAGAATGTGTGTCACAACCATAACAAGTGTGTCAATATTTTGTGCGTGGGTCTTTTGATGATTTTTGTTTTACCAACACCAATGAAAGATTTAGATCAAGTCTGTGCTCACGTGTTAGTTTGAATTACGTCGCTGTTTAATTTTTAAAAATATTATTTCAAAATTTTAGTTCCAAAAAGAAAAAAAAACTCAATATTTCATGTATTTCTTTTTTCAGTCGTCGTCTACAATTTCCTTGTACTTGGCCAGCTTAACGGCGTGTGTTTTGGAAACCAGAGTTGAAGGAGACACGTCTTCAGTAATTCAGACCATTTACGATTACAATGACGTAAGTATAACAATTAATGTCTCTTCTTGATTATTTTATCTCCCAACTCTAAGGACAGGCAGTTATGTCAGATATAGCATTTACCAATCTTTTCTTTTTCACTCGTGGCGATACTTATTAGAAAAATAGAACCCGAAAACGAAAACGAATTTGACGATGAATATTCAGTAATATATCCCGATACAAAATACCCCGCATTACTTTTTGGTCCTAGTTACGCGAAAAATTAGAGACAGGCAGTGTTCTTGAAAAGGGTGTGTTTCAATTACAGAATGACTTGTGCGGTGGATAACCTTCGGATATTTTGCCCTTATATAGATTGCCATACCAAAATAAATTAGTTGTTCCCTTCGTAAATATCGAGCTTATAGAAAACTGCGCCTTTCACTTGCTCTGGAATTTAATGTGCCACACGGACACACTGATGTAAGAGGTAGTTATCAGGTTGAGATATCAAACTGAGCTGTCTCTATCTACCTCCCAGGTGCGTTTTCAAACTCTAGACAACAACCCGTGATCATTGATCATTTTCTTTCCTTACCTGAGGGGTTGAAAACCTTCTTAAAGTCATATGCCTCTCTCTATAAAATTCTTCAACTAAGTAGAACGCCACTTGAAAAGCGGCTGTGTGCGGGGATGTCGTGTAGTTTTATTTATATTTAAAGGTTAAGATAAAGGGATTTCGTTACGTTGTGATTTATTTCCATAGTCGCTTATATATTGCGAAAATAAGCATTGTTATATCATGCAATAATGCTGTCACATCAAAAATATACCGGGATAAATTTGCTAATGCGAACTAATGACGTAACGACATCGTTTATGGGATGAAAATTGTAATGTCGTTTTCAAACAGATCTGCCTTATCAGTTATCTGTTCAGCAATAATCACCGTTTATCGGCTAGAGAAAATTGTCTTGGAGGATAACTTCAGACTTTATCAGGAAAGAGGCAATATAATGCTTTTGTTTCAAGGGGCATTAAAATGGACTCAGATCTCTCAAACGAAAATGTGAAAAAAAAACCCTGGCACCGGATTTTTTTCACAGCTTAGTCGTCAACCCTGCCAATTGTAGTGATGATAGGTGTAAAGTTAAGCTGGAAAACGATCACTGTCTCACACCGAGTTACAAAACAGCAAAACTGACGATGAACGCTTTGCAACCCTCTGTGCAGCAGTGTGGGATAGGGAATAAAACAGCAAAGCTTTTGCTCTTAAAGTCTTAATTAGTGTTAAATTGCGCGAATATCGAGATAACTATTTTACAAGAAAGCGAGATGAAAGCTATTTTACCAAATGTAGGTTTTTACAACTTATTGAACTCCTTTAAACCTACCGGTATGCGTAATCATTAGCATTGCTTAGTCCATATTAAATCATTGTTTGTTTGTTAATGACGTGTTTGTTACCATTGAGAAAAGTAGACCCATGTCAATGGCCTCGATAACAACACCAGGCTCACTCAAGATTAAAGTAAAGACAACGCCCTAGCATTTCTTCACTATTAAATCTCTTTTGCTAATTTTGATTATTAATTCTTTTTTTTTTTTATTCTGTGATTTATTTAAGTTAAAGTTTTATTCTGTGATTTATTTTAGTTAAAGGAATACGTAATAAGCGAGGACGGAAATTGCACAGAGCAAAGTATACCGGGAAATAGAAGTCTCGCAACCGACTTTCTTTGCATTCCAGGTAAATGTCATTATTTTGAGAGAATAGAAGGGGACATTTGGGGAGGGATTGTACCTGCGAATTTAAGGAGAGGACACGTTGCTAGTTGTCACTGTACCCCACCTAGATACGCTATTGGCCAGATACTTTGTACTTAATTGAATGCGTAGTTTTTCACATAGAGTCAAATGCGAATAGATCAGAAATACGATTTAGAACCAATAATAATTATAAGAAAAATACCATTTCATTTTGCAGCTAAAAATATGTTGATACATGTGCAATAAAATGATGTAAAATTAAACGAAACATAATAAAATTATCTTTTCTTGGATATCGAGAAACCTGGTGGAAATCGCATCTGCATCGTTATTGTCACAACATTTTTCTGAAGCCATAATTAGGCTAATGGTGGATAAAACTTCACAAGAGCATATTTTCCCAAGCTTTTTCGATACGTTAGCCACGATCTAGTGCTACGTAAATCATCAACAACTTAGACATATGTTTTGCATTTAGGGATTGTAAATATACAAAACAGTTTTTCCAAACTTAACTTCTTAACGTAAGGCATGTTGAAAGCTAAATCTTAAATTGCTTTTCTTCTTTTAAAGGAATGGCCACATGTGACGATTACGTTACTCTCGGAGTTGGCCGAGGGGACATGGACGCTTTTATCTGTAAAATGGACAAAGAAATGGATGGGATGGTCTACAATTACACATACATTACCCAAGCAAAATCAAACTTCCTGGTATTTAAGAAGATGTTCGGAATAGGTAAATGATCATGTTTTAACATTATGTCCTTGCCTTCAGTCACGTGATCAAACAAGGTTTGCCCCATTTGATATTCATGCATGATTTTAACTATTTTCACAAAAGTCATTTACTTACTGTAGATAAAAAAGAAAAAGGCAGTCGAAGGCATGCGGTTGACTTTATTATAAAAAGTCATAAATAAATGTTTTCATATAAATAAGTATGCATTACAACAAGAAATAGAGAAAACGCTATTGCAATGAAAGAAGACGGATTAGCCGAATCTAGTTAAAGTATGACACAGATTCCAAATATGAAAAATAACACGGTGCATGTATAAAGATTGAAATTGCTTTGTTTCTTGCCACTTTAACAACCATGCTTTGTTTACAAGACGCAGACAACGGGACAGCCAAAGCCAGCCATGCCTATTGTGCATACGACCTCAAATACTCAATAACAGATCCAAGCATGTGCAACATACCTCAGAGTTGTACAAAAACTGTATCAGAAAGTCAAGTAAGCTGCCTTCATATTGGGGATAACTTTGTTGAAATGTTTATTTTGCTGTTTGAGACGTCCTCTTTAATAAATCAACTGAAATATTGTTGAAATGTTAATTTCAGTTTTTTTTTTTTTTTTTTTTTTTTTTTTTTTTTTTTTTTTTTTTTTTTTTGGGGGGGGGGTTAAAATGGCTGAATTACCAGTCAATCAGGTTTTTAGTTCGCATTGAAACTCAGAACATGCCTAATATGAACCTTATATGAATGTTTTTATCTTCACTACAGAATGGCAATAGCAACTTTCGGTCTCATGTAAAAATCCACCTTGTCTCAATATATATCTTTGAAATTTAACTAAAAAATACAGCGCCGGCGACACCGTCTCTTCTCTTAAGGTGTGGATATATACCCACATATGCTTGAAATATGAGGAAAAAATCCACAGAAATAATTTTACTCAACCTGACACCCAAATGGAAAATGAAGCATCTGGGGATAAAATGATTTTCCCGTACCTTTCTTCTCTGAACCATCTCGTCATTCCGGTGAAAAATGAAACACCATTGTATTAAATGTCTACGAACTCATTTTTGACAGTTCTGTTGGAAACACTACCATTACTCACACTAATAATAATAATTTTATTTTAGGCTTTTTATGATAGAAGTTGGGAGGAGGCGGAAGTGAAAACAAAGAACATTCGTGGTAGAAGTTGGAAAGAGGCAGAAGTAAAAACGAAGAAGATTCAAGTTCTCTGAAACTACAAAAGGAACAGAAAAAAGCATAACAAAGGATCAGTTTGTGGAAGCAAAGACAGAAAAGTTCGACAAAGATTAAATCAATATTTAAATTGAAACGCGATTTATTTTCCTATTTACCGGCACGCAAAGACACTTAACATTTTACTTTGTACGGATTTATTTCTTTAAGGTACATAATACATGCTTTTTTATTCTTGATCACACCAGTGGTTATTTCAGTAACATTTAAACTTAATAACATAAAAAAATTTGATAATCAATCATAATATAGGATTTCTAACTTGGCTTTAAAGCAAAAGAAAGCCCATGAAGTGGTCCTTTGTTATAGTCCCTGAATCTATAAAAAATATTGTCCCTGAATCTATAAAAAATATTGACGCTTTAGCCGGGGAAAGTTGACTGTAATATAGGATGTCTGACTCAGCTTTAAAACAAAAAGAAAGCCCATGATCATGAATAAGCCCTTTGTTATATTCAGCACTTATCGTAACTGCTGCGTATGCCTTGGCACATATCTAAACGGAGTTATTAAATAGCAATGACGCAATGCCTCACTATACACAATGTTTTAAAACACATGATGCAGAAATTTATCTGGACTGCTGATAGACTTTCGGCGACGTGGATGAAGATTATGTTGATTACGTTTTAGCAACTCCTAAAGATGTGCAGTTTATTTCAGAAATAGAATACGAATCATTCATTGATAATGAATATACCGCTTTATCCCCATTCACACTTGTCATTTGTATATAAGGAAAGGTTACATTTAACTGAATCTATATAAAATAGTGATTATAGCGTAAAAGCAATGCATCAAAACACACGACGCAGAAATTTATTTGGAGTTACGTAGACTACGTTTAAGCAACCCATGAAGATTTACAATTCGTTTTTAGAGAAAAATCTCTCATTGTTTCAAATGTTTTGACAGTTTTTATATACTATTTAACCAAGAGAAAAAAATCTGCTTAAACTGTATCAATAAAATAATCAGGTCTATGTGTGACGCAGAAATTCGTTCGAGTTGTTTAAAAAACAACCATTTGAAGAATATGCCGAATAGTTCCTAATTATTCAATAGACCAATCAAATGTAAAAAAAATCATGAACTGATCAAATAAAAAACATTGGCATATATCTGACTTTGTTATGTTTGTGTTTCAGAGAGTTGACCGTTTCTCACATATGGCAGACGGCATTAACATGGGAATATCTGTGGGTACAGAGTATTTAATGCATGCGTGTTCCTTCATGTATAACAAATCTTGATATTTCAACGATGCAAATTATCTTAATGGTTTAACTTTCACATGTAACTAAAACCGTTAGTAAAATTACGACCAACAGACCATCAAACTAATTGCTTGTGCTTTACTATCCATGATTCCCTCTCTCTTGACAGTTGTGCTCTTTTTGGTGAAAACAAAACGCGAAACGTTTGGGTTCAAAACGTTTTAAATTATTAAATATGGTAACCAAAGGTGACTGATTAGTGATTGCTCTAATGTAGATTCTCTCACATGTCTGCCTTAAAAACGTTTTACAACACAAAGCTACGTGTTGCTTGGCTGTGGTCAACGCTTGTAGGTGCAACAAAGGAACGCGACAAATGGAGAAAAGCGGCCTCCAAAGTACACTGCTGGATGCTATAATCTGCAATCATAAAGCGGGTCCTAGCCTCCTCAAGTGTTTGAAAGAGTTGGCTCCAATGGATATGTTCGTTTAAGACTTTAAAAGCTATCGTGAAGTTGTTTTCTTTGGTCACATATCCTAAAGGCAGGTGCGAACTTATAAAAGAAATAAGATCCTTTGTGGCAATTTCCTCTTCATCTGTCAGGCGTATTTCAATGTTAACGCCGTCCCCGTACACATTTTTAAGCGACTGTGGACTGCCCATTGTGACAAAGCACTGGTCAATCATTATTGTCACTCGAGTGCACTGCATTTCACTTTCTTCAGTGCTAAAATATATATACATCTGTTTTAAAATAAACGAATAAAAACACTTATTTTACTTTCTGGGTACCAGGTATCTTCTTTGTAGTAGTTAACAGAAACTTGGTTAAAAAGCTCACAGAAAATTGTGATTTATGAAGAAAGTCAAATCTCATTTTGCTCTGGCATTACCATACAAACTGCATACAAGACTTGAATGGTCTAGATCGGGAGCAAGGGAGAATCTACAGTGTACATTAACCTGTTGGTGGTCAGCACCAGCGTTGTGCCTTGTTGACGTATTTCCTGCAGAACTGACCATATCTTTCTCCTGCACAATGGATCAACACTTGTTGTTGGGTCATCCAGGAATATAATGGTTGATTTTCCAAACAACGCTATTGCTGTGGTTAATTTTCTCTTTGTCCCAGTGCTGTCAGAAAATTAGGAAAAAAGCGCACTGAAAATTCCGTCTCCGTAGACGATGACCTGGTAAGGCCAAGATTACGTATGGTGTACATACTATTCAACTCGACCGCTAATTATTAATACAAATATATTATTTAACGATTTTGCACCATGTTCAGTAGGCATCATGACTGAAGCATATATTGGAAAATACAGTTCTCCGTACAAGCGGCAATGTTTCATATCAAAGTTTCTTTTATACTCTGACAATTACACATAACATACATGGATAAAGATTAAATGTAATTGAAGCATATTTGACGAAGTAACAGGCAAAAACCTCGTTGCGTCCCGCTTAAGATAATTAATGTCGAATCGTTTGTTTGGTAAGCTGCACGGAAACTCATTTTGATCGGGTTTCCGACATTTTTCTTATTATGTTCCTTGTGTGCTTTATTTTTTTCATTCATTGAAAACGTAGCTGACACTTTTCTGAAATTAATTTTAAAATTAAATTTCCGTCAGATTGAACTTACTCATTACGATCCCCCGCCATTACTCCGTACATGTGCGTGACTCAAATTTTGAATTTCCAAACACATCTTAGAGTTTATTTGTTATGAAGACATGTAATCAAAAATAGAAATCTAACACCAAGATTGATAATAGATCACATTTCAAAATTACGCAACCATACCGCCAGGATGCAAAGCTATATTGACAATGAAGTGCGGTTTCTTGACGTACATAATGTTTAATCGGACCAAACATGCTACTAATATTTTCATCTTTATAATCAGTTTTTCAATTTGTAACTTGAAAGCATGTGTCCTCAGAGGACTGCACAAACCTGTTTTCCATTATAACTGTCAAAGGTCACACCTTCCAGGAATGATGTACCGTCAGATGGCAGCAAATCACCCGTGAGCATCCTGAACAGAATTTCTTTGCCGCGGTCATCAAGGCCGAGTATTCCAAGAGCTTCGCCTGAAAACAATCTTAGTACTCATTTATATGGTTATTTTTGTGCCATATAATACTCCAGCTATGAAAACTACAATGGCAAAATGAAATGAATATTTCAAGTGCTATGCAGAGCGAGAAGAGAACTGCAGGGCAAACTAGAATGCATAAACAGGACGGGTAGTGTACAAGACTCACCTTTCCGTACTGACACTTGAACTGGACCCTCTTCCAAGGGCTGGGGAGTCTTTATTCTACTTTGTTCGCTTTTGAGCGTATTGGTCATGTTAGAGCTGCGACTGGTACTTCCTTATGAGTATTGAAAAGCCTCGGTTGAGCTAGGGGTCCGAAAGCCTTTTGTTTGGCGCACCTTGTACCACGTGGTAAGCACGTGCGTTTCAACGATGATCAAAATGACAAGGAAGGCAAAACCTTGGAAGAAGAGAAAGAGGGCGTGTTTTCCGAAGCCTGGATACTGGAAGGACAGCGTGTTGTCCACATGTGGCATGCAGAAATATAAAGTTCTGTTTTCGACGGGAATGGCAGTTTGGTTTTTATTCCACTCGACGCAGCGGCCTAAACAGGAAAAAACAGAAAACATACAGAATACTCAATCTAAAATGCTAGTACTTTTTCTCAGTAAAGTGTGAAATGCACTTGTTCAAAAGCCTAACCTCTTAAATGAAAACATTTTTCTTCTTTCATAACTGTGTACTGCACCTAAATCAGATTGTAAAAATGACTGAGCATCTTTATGAAATCATTGTTTGTCGTGTATATCATCAGTGGAGGTGGGGTTCAGACATTGGTCTCCTTCCCTATAGTAGCCCATTTGAATAAAGTAAATAGTGGTTTGAAACTGCAAAATAGTCTTTTGATTAAAAAAGACCATACATGCATTATCTTTTAGGACTACATTGTGCATGTACCAAAAACTTATAATAATAATAATAATAATAATAATAATAATAAGGGGACAAAGTTTCGTGCTTTCAAGCTCAAGATTGAAAAAGTCAATTGTCATTAACTCTTGCAACCATTAATCCTATATATATCCGCCTTCTGTACTTACTTATGTTACGGCTGAATATGGCTCATAGTTGTGTTGCTATGGAGGCAGTATCGCGAGTTGTAGTCATTAATATAGAAGTTCAACAGCCCGCCGACCAAGTTGAAGGGAGGAAACTACACTGTGAAGATCCAACCCGTCATTTCCAGATAGGAAAATGACGTCACCATGTCTACCACGTCAAGTAGTCGGTATGGAACGATGTAGAGGAGGAACGCTTCCAGGACGACAGAATAGGCGCCTTTAAAGCAGGAAATCTCATTTGAGCGACATCTGTCCAAATAACCATTTATTTACGATTTTAAATTGTGAAATGAGTATGTAACAAAGATAGTCCATATGCGATGCTTGAAGTAAAAAAATGTATGTAGAAAATACGGACTTGACTTAAAAATCTGCATCGGGTTGAAATTTACTTGTTTTAACGAGAGAAACGTTCTAAATAATCTGTGTTAAATGTGAGTCTATCATGATTGTTTCATATAAAAGTGGGATGTTGATAAGAACTTTATGAAATAAATCTACTGAGTAGGTGCTCACACACATTTCATATTTGGGTCTTAGCATTTCAATTTAGATCTAAAAAGAGGAGCTAATACGTGTTTGCGGGAAACAAAACATGGAAATAAAAATAAACGTACCTATTGTTGTAAACGTAATCATGATGTACTTCATGATAGGCCTTCAGACCAGTTTCAAATTTAAACGACAGCAAGTAGGTCAATGGCAGAGTGGCCCACCCGAAGAGCACTACCAGAATGATTAGCGTTTCTTGTTGTCTGTCGGCTATGTACAAGGGCCATGTATGTCCAGCTAATACCAAGCCGATCACCGATATGACAGGTACCGAATAGATCATTATATCCCAACAACACCTGGACAACCAGTACGTCATACCCGTGGAACCGGACACAAAGAGCAGAAGCTTGGTCTCGTTGGTGCGTTTCTCAACCGGGCTGATAGCGAAGGAGCCAAGAAGTGCCGACATCACAAACAGGAAAATGCACGTGTAAGTCACGCTGATCAAAGGGGGCCACCACTTCCATGAATCATTCCCACTGTCGTCATCGTCATCCATGAGATCGTTATCCATGTGGCGACTATACGACGGCAAAGGGTGGTTGTTGACCGATATGGAGTACTTGTCTCCGGCAAGGTACCTCAGCAGGGCGTTGTTGACGAGGTTGAGCGGGACCTTATATTTTGTCACGCGGGGCAGTTATTGTCATGTGCTCGAAGCACGTGCTGTGTTCACGTCAAAATAAACCGCCACAGGCAGAGTTGTGTTGCAGTATAAAAGACGGAAACGTGAACACAAGAAAATAGAAGTAAGAACACGGTTCGGCTGCATGAAATTGCAGAAAAAATGGTTAGATATGTGACGGTCTTCATCCTTGTGATGATCTTCGCAGGAGTTTTAGGCAAGGGTTCCAAAGGACCCAAAACTCCAAAATCTCCGGGACCTCCCACCCCCAAGACCCCCAAGACTCCTCCCACGCCAGGGAATTGCTTCAGCCCAAAATATAGGGAATTGGAGTACAAGACGGATGAAATTGCTGTCGATACGCAAGGTTCTAGCTATCAGGTGAGTAAATCCTCCAAATTAAATGGTACAGTCTACTTAATTCGATTGTCACGAATTAAAGCAGTAATACGGTTTTGTTGGGACATTCACATTATTCTGAACGCTTTTGCACAGTGAACACTTCCATCCATTTTTTTTACCCAAATTTTCTTCGGGTTTCCTGAGTTCTGAAGTTTATACCATGGTGCCAAAGTGATCTACGCTGTTCGTAACGTGCCTCAATGAGTGAAATTATTCTGTCGTAGTTTCTAAATGATATCATTATGAATATATAAAAAAATATTTAGTTGATACATAGTTTTTGAAAAGCTTGAGAATGGAAATATTTCGGTTGAAGATAATTGTATCGAAGAAACATGGGACATTGGTATAAATGCTGTAAGANGGACATTGGTATTAATGTTGTAAGATATTTCCCTTTATGGAAAAAGGCCGAGTTTTTTTCAAATGCAAGCAGACTAAAGGGAGGGTTTCATTTACACAAAACTTTCCATGAAAAAGAAACTTCGTCTACGCGATCATCAACACATGTTCCCTGTGGACGTATGCACCAGCAGGGCCAGGGACGAGAGCAGAATATGTGTCACAACCATTTCAAGTGCGTCAGTATTTTGCGCGTTGATCGCCTGATGATTTTTGTTTTACCCACACCAATGAAAGATTTACATCAAGTCCGTGCTTACGTGTTAGTTTGAATAACGTCGCTGTTTAATTTTCAAAAATATTTTTTCAAAATTTTAGTTCAGAAAAAAAAAAAAAAAAAAAACTCAATATTTCATGTATTTCATCTTTCAGTCGTCGTCCACAATTGGCTTATACTTGGCCAATTTAACGGCGTGTGTTTTGGAAACCAGAGTTGAAGGAGACACGTCTTCAGTAATTCAGACCATTTACGATTACAATGACGTAAGTATAACAATTAATGTCTCTTCTTGATTATTTTGTCTCCCAACTCTAAGGACAGGCAGTTATGTCAGATATAGCATTTGTCTATCTTTTCTTTTTCGCTCGTGGCGATACTTATTAGAAAAATAGGACCCGAAAACGAATTTGACGATGAATGTTCAGTAATATATCCCGATACAAAATACCCCGCATTACTTTTTGGTCCTAGTTACGCGAAAAATTAGAGACAGGCAGTGTTCTTGAAAAGGGTGTGTTTCAATTACAGAATGACTTTTGCGGTGGATAACCTTCGGATATTTTGCCCTTATATAGATTGCCATACCAAAATAAATTAGTTGCTCCCTTCGTAAATATCCAGCTTATAGAAAACTGCGCCTTTCACTTGCTATGGAAATTAATGAGCCACACGGACACGTGACCTGTGACGTAATACCTGACGAAGCTGTCTGATATAAGAGGTAGTTATCAGGTTGAGATATCAGACTGAGCTGTCACTATCTACCTGCCAGGTGCGTTTTCAAACTCTAGACAACAACCCGTGATCATTGATCATTTGCTTTCCTTACCTGAGGGGTTGAAAGCCTTAAAGTCATATGCCTGTCTACATAAAATTCTTCAACTAAGTAGAACGGCACTTGAAAAACGGCTGTGTGCGGAGATGTCGTGTAGTTTTATTTATATTTAAAGGTTAAGATAAAGGGATTTCGTTACGTTGTGATTTATTTCCATAGTCGCTTATATATTGCGAAAATATGCATTGTTGCAATAATTCTGTCACATCAAAAATATACCGGGATAAATTTGCTTATGCGAACTAATGACGTAACAACATCGTTTTAAGGATGAAAATTGTAATGTCGCTTTCAAACAGATCTGCCTCACCGTTTATCGGCTGGAGAAAATTGCCTAGAAGGATAACTCCAGACTTTATAAAGAAAGAGGCAATATAAGGGGCATCAAAATGGACTCAGATCTCTCAAACAAAAATGTGAAGCCAAATCCAGGCACCGGATTTTTGTTCACAGCCCAGTCGTCAACCATGCCAATTTTAGTGATCATAGGTGTAAAGTTACGCCGGAAACCGATCACTATCTCACACCGAGTTACAAAAAAAGCAGAACTGACGACGAACGCTTTGCAACCCTTTGTGCAGCAGTGTGGGGTAGGGAATAAAACAGCAAAGCTTCTGCTATTAAAGCCCTAATTAGTTTTAAGTTACGCTAAGTTGCCCTAGCATTTCTTCACTATTAAATCTCTTTTGTTAATTTTGATTATTAATTCTTTGTTTTTTTATTCTGTGATTTATTTCATACATTTTAGTTAAAGGAATACGTAATAAGCGAGGACGGAAATTGCACAGAGCAAAGTATACCGGGAAATAGAAGTCTCGCAACCGACTTTCTTTGCATTCCAGGTAAATGTCATTATTTTGAGAGAATAGAAGGGGACATTTGGGGAGGGATTGTACCTACGAATTTAAGGAGAGGACACGTTGCTAGTTGTCACTGTACCCCACCTAGATACGCTATTGGCCAGATACTTTGTACTTAATTGAATGCGTAGTTTTTCATATAGACGCAAATGCGAATAGAGCAGAAATACGATGTAGAACCAATAATAATAATTATAATTATAAGAATAAAACCATTTCATTTTGCAGCTAAACACATGTTGGTACATGTGCAATAAAATGATGTAAAATTAAATGAAACATAATAAAATTATC